ACCATTCTCAGGAGGCAGGTCATATATAGGGGTGTAGGTTACATTGACTGACCAATCTTAGGAGGCAGGTCATATATAGGGGTGTAGGTTACATTGACTAACCATTCTCAGGAGGCAGGTCATATATAGGGGTGTAGGTTACATTGACTGACCAATCTTAGGAGGCAGGTCATATATAGGTATGTAGGTTACATTGACTGACCATTCTCAGGAGGCAGGTTGTACAGGGACATGGTTACATTGACTGACCATTCTTAGGAGGCAGGTCATATATAGGGATGTAGGTTACATTGTCTGACCATTCTCAGGAGGCAGGTTGTACAGGGGTTGGTGTCAGGTAACCTTGACCACTCAACCAGTGTTACAAAGAAAGTCATATTGGGGATTGGGGTGTATGTTACGACACGACACTGCTCAATATTCTCAGGAGTTTTTGCCAGACATCAGATATATGTACATATAGGGACATTTTTTTTTTATTTATTTAAATGTCTATTCTGATAGAGTTTTTTTAAATAGATCTTTAATAAAGTTTATGACACCTAATTATGGTCATGGGTGCATGAAATTAACATTTTCAAAGTTAATGTTGAAATTTAATACAATCTGTCCTTCAGATTTTTTTCTGTCTATAAATCCAAACTGTTCTGATATTTTACCAAGTCGCATACTAATTACTTCTCTGACACTCTGTTCAACCCATTTTCAAGGGTTTCTGATATCTGAAACTCTATATAAAATTTTGTGATTTTTACAAGTTTCATTTACATACACATTTTTTATGGAACATAAATACTTTCTTAGCATTCATGCAGAAAGCATTTAAATTATGCAAGTGACATCAATATACCAAACTTAAATGACTTTCTCAACGATTAAGCGTGCAGCTTTCCGAATATCAATAAAACAAGATATGAAAATTTAATCTGCAAGGTTACTCATTTGTCCTCAATTTCTGACTGACGTAAATATATGTATGTGTCGATAACCTTTATATTCTGTGTTAATAGTTTGATATTTCTGTATGGTGAATCATATTACATTGAAATATTGTAAAGAATAACTTGATAAATCAAAGCCATATGTTGTAGCATGTTTTAGACTGGGGCATTGACACTGTACTGGGGTTTGTCATAGACTGGGACATTAACACTTTACTGAGGTGTGTCATAGACTGGGACATTAACACTGTACTGAGGTTTGTCATGGACTGGGACATTGACACTTTACTGAGGTTTGTCATAGACTGGGACATTAACACTGTACTGAGGTTTGTCATAGACTGGGACATTGACACTTTACTGAGGTTTGTCATAGACTGGGACATTGACACTATACTGAGGTTTGTCATAGACTGGGACATTGACACTGTACTGAGGTTTGTCATAGACTAGGACATTAACACTGTACTGTGGTTTGTCATAGACTGGGACATTGACACAGTACTGAGGTTTGTCGTAGACTGGGACATTGACACAGTACTGTGGTTTGTCATGACTGGGCCATTAACACTGTACTGAGGTTTGTCATAGACTGGGCCATTGACACTGTACTGTGGTTTGTCATAGACTGGGACATTGACACTATACTGAGGTTTGTCTTAGACTGGGCCATTGACACTGTACAATTGTTTGTCATAGACTGGGACATTGACACTGTACTGAGGTTTGTCATAGACTAGGACATTGACACAGTACTGAGGTTTGTCA